GCTGGGGATTCGAACCCGCCACCTTAGGTGTACGTGGCTGGCGCCTTAGCCGGTTGAGCTATAGGCGCCGAGCCAGTAGTATTAGTATTAGTATTAGAGACAGTCTCACTCTGTTGCCCAGGCTAGTTTGCCATGGCTTCAACCTAGTTCACAGCAACTCTAAACTCCTGGGTTCAAGTAGTCTGCCTCCTGGGTAGCTAATAACTACAGGTAAACATCACCATACCCCGCTAATTTTCTTTTATTTTTAGTAGAGACAGGTTCTCAATTTGTTTCATTTGGTCTCAAACTTCTGAGCTCAAGTGATGGTCTCAACTCAGCTTCCCATGGTGCCAGGATTATAGGTGTGTGCCCGGCCTCCCATTTTATTACTTTGAGACAGAAGTCTCACTCTATTGCCCTAGGTAGAGTGCTGTGGCGTTTTGTAGCTCACTGCACCTCAAACTCTTGAGCTTAAGCAATCTTCTTGCCTCGGCCTCCCCCGTATCTGGGACTATTGGTGTGCACCTGGCTGATTTTTCTATAATTCGTAGAGATCTCAGCTCTTGCTGAGCCTGGTCTCAAACTCTGACTCAAAGTAGTCTTCTTGCCTCTGCCTCCCGGAGTGCTAGGATTACAGAAATGAGCCACCGTGACTAGCCTGAATTATAGAGAGAGGAAATTTGAAGTAAAATCTGTAAACAATTCTGAATTTCTTTTTATTTCCTTTCAATTTTTTCTGTTTTACTTTCATATATTTTAAAGATCTGAGTGCATACTTGGTTATTTTATCTTCATTATTTAACCCCTTTATCACTGTGAAATGACTTTGTAGTCACTTTAGTTTTATTTTGAATCATCATGTTTATATATTTATGTCTTCTTCTTCTTCTTCTTCTTTTTTTTTTTTTTTTTTGTAGATTATCGCCCACAGTAGAGAGCTGTGGCGTCACACAGCTCATAGCAACCTCCAACTCCTGGGCTTAGGCAATTCCCTTGCTTCAGCTTCCCAAATAGCTGGGACTACAGGTGCCCGCTACAACGCCTGGCTATTTTTTGTTGTTGTTGTAGTTTGGCCGGGGCAGGGTTTGAACCTGCCACCCTTGGTATATATGGCCGGCGCCCTGCCCACTGAGCCACAGGTGCCGCCCATATTATGTCTTCTTTTTGCTTTTAGTTTACGTGTGCTGTTATATTTAAAATACATTTCTTGGCTTAGCATGGTGACTAATGCTTATAATTCTAGCACTCTGGGAGGCCAAGGTGGGAGGATCCTGAGCTCAGGAGTTCGAGACCACCCTGAGCAAGAGGTAAATTCCATCCCTACTAAAAATAGAAAAATTGGCCGGCCACAATGGCTCATGCCTATAATCCTAGCATTTGGGAGGCCAGGGTGGGTGGATTGCCTGAGCCAGAGAGAGTGAGACTCTCTAAAAATAGCTGGGGCCTATAGTCCCAACTACTCGGGAGGCTGAGGTAAGAGACTCTCTTGAGCACATGAGTTTGAGGTTGCTGTGAGCTCTGATGCCACAACACCCTACTGAGGGTGGGAAAGTGAGACTCTGTCTCAAGATAAATAAAATCAAAATTGAAAAATTAGCTGGGCACAGTGGCAGAGGGCTATAGTTCCAGCTAGTTGGGAGGCTGAGGCAGGAGGATCGCTTGAGCTTAGGAGTTAGAGGTTGCTGCGAGCTAGCCTGATTCCACGGCGCTTTAGCCTGGGCAGCAGAGTGAAACTGTCTCAAAAATTTAAAGAAAAAAAAAGCATTTCTTGTTGGTAACATATCATTAGATTATGCTTTTTAAAAA